TTGTTTTAGCTTATAAAGCCTCTCTGGTTACAAAAGAAAAGTCACGATCAGTTGAAAGACCTGCCTTGTTCCCCACAACACAATTTCTCTCTCTTCCTGTACACATCCTCAACTGAAAGCAAGGGTCTTCTGTCTTGTGCAACAATGCTGACTATCCACATATGTTCTGCCCACGGTTTAAATGTGTATTATCTCTTTTTCCCCAGCTTTTTGCCTAGAGGAAAAGCATTAATATTCAGCCACCAATAACTACCCAGTTTTGCTAAGCATTTGGAGTTACAGCCTGCCTAAGTGACAACATGAAAAAAAAATCTGTCATGTATGCAACTATTATTATGAGTGGACTTAATGTTGCAGATTTTAGAATCCTAAATATCAGTTAAATTGTCTTATGCATACACAAAACTTTCTATTTTGCGAAGTTGTCGGAGTTAATAAGAAACTCCAACTTCCAATATCATTTTCAAATTGAATTTTTGTTCTTCGATACTGTTTTTGTGAAAACAATGTTCTCTTGATACTTAAAAAGCCCATATATGAAGTTATAAAAGGACTATCACAAAGAAAATAATCATATCCAGAACCTGCTCCCTCCTTTTACTCAAGTGTTCCCCACTCAATGTTTGCGCAGGAGGGGCCAATGGGGTGCCAAAAGCAGGAAAACAAAAAAAAAATATTATTAAAAGGAGACAAAGGGGGTGGAACACATAGTTATAGAGTCATAGAATCTTAGAATCATTTAGGTTGGAAAAGAACTTTCAGATCATCGTCCAGCTGTTAACCTAGCACTGCCATGTCCAACAGAAGAACCCTTGATTTAATTATGCCCCATCAAAAGTCCCTCTAACCCAATGTTCTGTCCTTAGCAGAGACCAAAATATGCAGCCTAGAGCAGCCACAATGCAGACAGAATATGTGATATTTCCACTCAGCATTCATCTCAAATCCAACTATGTACAGCCTGAGAAATTTGGAACGTTGATGTGTTTTTTACATAGTTAGTAACCCTCACTTCATTTGTTTTCCACAAACAGATAACCTGGATAGTGTATAAAGAATCACCGTGTCATATAAAGAAACAGGTCTCTTGCAAGCATCATCTGATGATACGCACTTCTTAACACGGAGGTAACAACAAACATTTGCAGCTTGTCTATGCTCTCCAGCCACCCAGGACCTTGTTTGTATCCTGGCCTCCTTTAAGCAGGAGGTTGGACTTGCTGATCTCCTGAGGTCTATTCCAAACTGAATCATCCTGCGATACTGCGGTTTTATAGACACCTGTTGTTTTGCTCCATAGTTTTCATTCTTCCATTCAGAAGAATCACAGCCAACTTAGCTGTTCCTCTTACAGAAATCACTTTTTTTGCCCTTCTACAGTGCTACCGTAGTCCTTCCGAGACAGAACATCAGGAGCATCCACAATACTGAACATGGAAAAGATTACACAGATTTTTGCCGTGACTTCACCATGTTCCCCATGCCCCATTCCTTTTCTTACCTTTCCTAACATTTTATCTGCTTTTTAAACCAACATTATGTATTGAGATGATCTTTTCAGAGACAGTTATTGATCAGCTATACCAGGAACTTATCAGACCATAACATTAAGGTCATTCTTGTGTGGTAAGAGCTTAGAGTTCATCACTGCCTATGAAAAGTTAGGACTGGTTTTCTTTTGAGCTCTGAAGAGCTCTCCTTACAATGGCAAAAGTAGCTGAAGCATGCAGATTGTAACCCCTTGCTGGTGAAAGAGGCAAAGTTTTGTACACCTGCACATTGAATACACTGGGGAGAGCCAGCACAAGGTGCAAAAGTCAGGGCACAGGTTTCAGTCTCACTTCTCAAACAACGTTTTCCTTCTGTTCAGTCTTTACAACTCTGAGCTCTTAGGTACTCCTAGGTACCTAATCCAGATATTCCCTTCTCAAAAACCAAAAAGTATTACATGTTGCATTTGCTTATGTTCTTACTCTTCACTACAAAAGGCATAGGGACTCTTGAGTGCAAACACTTGTTCTTACCAATAAGAGGCAACACAAATGCTGTATCCCCCAGCATCGGCAGGGAAGAGCACTGCTCCTTTTTTTCAAAGCCAGTGTATGAGCTACAACTGGAGCATCAAGAGTCCTAGCTCAGTGTCCCAACCTCTACAGGAGGGTTTTGTTTCTTCCCTAGCGGCACTGACCTACACCACATCAGCTGGCTGGTACAGCACTGTTGGGATAGATATGCTAGAAGAATTTCCACTAGTTTTCCATTAAAAAATTCCATTTCCACCACCGTCCTTTAACTTTGAAAATTCTGTGGCCACAAGGCTCTTTTCCTGAAAGCAGCTACCCAGGAAGTTTTTCTAATGTATCCAAGTTAGGGGTATGATTCTTTTCATATTCCCATTTAACATATATATATGCAAAGTGTATAGCAGAACTTGTCTTCAGTAAGTAACTGTATGGATTTACTTATCTTACTTTCAAAAACATTTTATTAAAAAAGAAGAAGTGGTGAAGAGCTCAGAAATACCGTATCTTGTAATCTACTGTCTTTGATACGTGCTATGTTGAACATTCTGCTCACTACAGAAGCCAAGCAAATATAATGCAAATTCAGTAGAATTAACTCAGGAGGCAAAGGGATTTGGTTAACATCAAATTCAGTGGTCACTAATCCCACTTTCCTGTCCCTTTCCAACCAAGTAACACAAATATTTAAATTCCCAAAATGGTAAAGTTCAGCATCTTGAGCCCTGTTAAATCTTATAAGCCAAAGCAAATTCCATTTCTCTGATTAAACAGAGAGTATTTACAAAGTTCATAAATAAACAGTGTGTGTGAGTTTTCTTTTTCACATCACTTTACTAAGCACTTTTTACTTTTACTTCATTCAGAATGATGTTTCTGCTATGCATTTTTGTCCAAAGTAAAACAAAAGGCAGTCCCTATTGAGAGTAAGTGAATGTAACATTTCACACATGAAATCTTGCAAGAATGTGAAAATAAACTTGTGCCTTCCCTAGGGTGTCTCTGCAACACCTTTCCACCCTGCTTTCCCCTTTCTTCCTTCTGGATCACAATTGTTTTTGAAGTGAGGTTGTCCACCCAAGATGCTCAATACACTTGTCGTTAGTCCTTGATTCTAATATATCTTCACATAGAAAAATGTCTAAGTAAAAGAAAAATTACAAAGGAAGAAATTAAATATAAACAATCCCTCAAGTAGTATAACTACTGAGAAAATGCCACTAGAGAGTCAGTCAGTTTCACTAGTATCAGAATTTTAGCCTTCATTCCCTCAGTGGTTCTCCAAAGAAAACTAGACATTGTATTATGAGAGCCCAACTAATTCATTTTTTCAAAAGACTTGTGGTAAAAGGCTTTGTAGAAGTCACTGCTTACAGACAACAATACCTGTCACAGACTAGGACAGATTCTTTGAGTGTTGGAAAGTTGTACCTCACATTTGCCATTTCAGTGCCTTCTCATTCCCTCTGCCAGAGTATTTCATGCCCAGTTTTACATCTCTGGAGTCCACAGGACTGAAGACAGTGGGCACAAAACGAGGCCTTGGGTACCAGCCACCATCACATTTGGGATACTCGAACATACAAAGCTGGGAACATGGGTAAATTAAGCCAATGGACTTCACCTGAACTCAGTAATGAACAAACCCATGTCAGGAGAATGCAGAGTCTCACAGCCTACCCGAAGTCTGGTAGGTCAACCAGCTTATTTTCAGATGCAGCTTTCCTCAAAATAACCATCTCTGATTAATTTTGAAGAAGAAACACCACCATTTAAAAACAAGGACTATTAAAGCATTTATTCGTGTTCTAAACAGGCAAACAATGGCTAACTTCAAAAAACAGTACAATAAAAAAAACTAATTTGAAAACAATAAAAGGAAATGCAGCACTATTACAGTACACATCTCACTGTTGCCTTCTGATCTAATTCTCAAGAACATGGAATCACACCACTGCATAAAGAAACACAACAAAATTAAAATTGAGATCTTTGTCTCATGACTGTCACTACCCTTCTGTGTGCAACAGCAGGCTGAATAAGCCATTTTAAGATTTAGATCAAAACCGCATACTACTGCTATGCAAGTTTCTTCAAAAATAGCAATATTAAAGTGAAGAAAGTTCAAAGATAAGGCTGTTATTTTGTTTTATGAGTAATAAAAATGTATAAATTATAAAAACATCACAGAAAATGAATATATTTCCTTGTAAAACCAAGGCACACTATTATGGCAGTGAATTACTGGTATTTTTAACATGCCAACTCAAGCTTGCACAGCAAACAATTACTTTAGATTCTAGTTTTTCATTTTAATAAGTATTAAAGATCATAGGAGACAATCAAGAGTTACATAGTATCCTTTCCACCAATGTGCCTGTGCCATGTAAAGTGCATTTACAATGACCTGAAAAAAATTTAAATTACTGTATATTCAGTCTCAGAAGCTGCTGCTCAAATTAATCCTGACCCAGCAAAAGAGCCGAGCATATGCTGAACTTTGAGTAAATACTCCCAGCTGTTTAATCACAGTGCCCCACACTTTTCAGGACAAATGATGTAGATCTTGTCTGCAATAGAATCAACGAAAAAAACTCAACCTGGTGTGGCAGGAGCAACCCATATTTCATTAGCCCTATGCAAAATTAAAGGATAAACTGATTCCTTCTAACTTGCTGCTGCAGAAGCTACAGTCTGAATTCACAGGAAGCCAGCCACTTTGGAATAAAGACAGGAAAGTTACCTCTTATTTATGGCAAAGAAGGAGCCTACACACGAGTTGTTACTGCAGTTAGCTGACTGAGCTCACACATTAGCTTGTGCCACTGTAGCTTGAGTGTTCTCCCATACCTTAAGGCGTTAACGGCCTTGCTGTTTAGAAGTTCTTGGATTTTTGTTTGGGCTGGGGTTTTTTAGCCACCTAAATTAGTAATGAAATGCAAAGTAAAGAAGAATTAGGAAAAGTAAGAAGAATGTTACCTGAAGGCCTTCAATGGCTAATCTAAGCATGCTTGGTGTGAGCTTGGAGGCCTGCTTGAAGGTGAAGTTGCTCCAGTCTATAATCAAAACAAATCCGTTCACTTGAAGCTCAGGGTCTTCTATCATGGCTTCTAAAGATAGAAGTATGGCGCGCAAAATATCCACCAGCGTGTACCTGCGAACATAAGAGGAGATTAAGTTAGGAAAGGAGCAGAGACTACGGACGTGGAGAAGTTCTGAGCGTTCTTCCTTTGTACTGCTTGTCAGAAGTTTATATCAAAGGAGGGCAAATGAAGTCATGGGTATGCAAAGCTGAGAAAGTCTCAAAAACTCAGTTAGTTGAACTCATCCTCTGCAGAAGGATTATGTACATGTAGATCAGCCAGCCAGAACAAAGTACAAGTATAAAATACACCAAAAGCAAATTTGAATTTACCTATACTCTAATCTACTGTAATATCTATGCATTTTATTAAATGTCTGTACAAACATAACTAGGTAAATTGTATTTTTTTTAAAATCATAACTGATACCAAAATCTGAGTCTAACACCAAAAGTCTAGATCCAAAGTTTTCTCCTGTATTTTTCCAAGGGATTGAAATAAATAGCTTCTACAAAATTATCAGCTAAAAAAGGGAATTCCACATGCTCCCCTGGTCTCTGTCTCTGGGTAATGTTTTCTCTTAAATCTACAAAGGGTATTACAGAAGGCTGATTACTCAAGGGTCTTGAAAGCAGAAAGTTACACGCACTATGGCTTTGAGGTGTTTCTGGTTAAAAGCAATAGCAACATTTTAAGACTTACTTAACTGTCTTCTGAGCATTGAGTGCTTTGTATATCCAAATTATGTGGTTTCAGAAGCAAGTTTGGAACATGGTATTCATTGGTCCTAGAATTTTCTGTCTTAAATTCAGGGTTACAAAGATGCCACCTACAATATGCAATTGTATTTTACATACATGCACATAATCTTAGAACAATAGTTTTGTAAAAGAAGACATAATTCATAGAATAGAATCATAGAATCATAGAATTCCATATTGGCAAGCCCTTTTGAGCATAATCTTTCTTTTTTGAATGTAAAGCACTAATACAGCAGCTGAATAGGTTAAATATATACAGCAATGTCATCTTTAGACTGCCACAGAATAGAGTTATTAATCAACCTGCAGTTTAGCTGTGAAACACTTCAATTGTCGGTTGGTTTTTAAGAGATATGAAAGTAGTAGTTTAAGTTTTGATTTTATCCAGACTAACTATGTTTTGTATCTAAAAATATTTTTGAAAGCAAGATAAATCTTTAAGGAAACAGATGTAATTTTGACAATCCTCACCACCATATCAGATGAGGCATTATAAAGCTAAACCAGAAAAATATCAGATAAGCAAATAGTCCAGGAACAAAAGAAAGCATTAAATCTTCAGTGTTTGTGCATATATTTTTAAATAAGGCCCTCTACAAGTCTCCCATCATGGCCTCAGACACAGAAGTTCTCAAAATTGTGAGTCCCCAGAGAAATCTTCACTATACTGCTTATGGAGCACAGAACATGTGTGCCTATTTAGAAATTACATTAAATTATAGTTATTACATTAAATTTTACTTGCTTTAATATGAGCACACTGTTTCATTGTGTATATAACTATATTTTGAAAGCATCTGCAAAAGGAAATAACACAAATTAAATTTGCTCTCCCTGACTCCTTGCATCTTTCCATCTTTTTTTTTATAGCCAACTGAAAGGCAGTGAACATTCCAGCTATGCATTCCTAAGACACAGACCAGAAAAAGACTTTCTTAATGTCAGTCTAACACAAGTGAACAAGAGAAACTGCATTTTCCCCAGAAAACATTAGGTGAAACATTCTTTTACATGATTCTTCATTTTGTAGACCTTTATTTTGTTTTGAATGTGGTTTGATTGATTGGGATAAAAGTTCTCATATTCATTCCTCTCCTTTCCACTTTCTGATACTTAACTTTTTTCTAAGGCTTTACTTTTCTGAGATCTAAGGTTTACAGGAAATTGAGCATGCTCAGGTTTTTTCAGCTGGGAGAGGAAACAGCACAAAAAAAATACTTCTCTGTAATTTCCCTATGGAAATCCTCAAAACGCTAAATTTCTCTATTTCCTTTTTTATTAAAGACCATTTTTATAACTGGAATTTTGTGCATTGGGGAAAAAAATACAGCCCTTAAAACCTATTTTGAAGGAAAATACTAAATGGAAAATGACGGAAAACCTGGATCCTTAAAACTGCCAGCACAATTTGATCATCACAGAACTGTCAGGCCAGGACTGCATTTTTTGCACCACGCAAAACCAGTCTAACCATCCAACAGAACACTGGTGCATGCACAGTGGAGGGTGTTAAGAAACATGGGAACTAAAAATCCCCAGTACGAGATATATTTTGTACCACTGCCAGCGCGGGGATTAAAAGACATGCTTAGCTTGAGGGAAGGAAGCTTTACAGAGTCATGTTCAGGGATGGGGCTGGGCTCAGAGCGTAGCCAACTGCCTTCAAAGCCCTGGTTACCTCCACAGGGTGGTGGAGGTCTCAGAAATACTGGGGGCTTTTATCACTTCATAAAACTAGAGGGAGATACACCCTTGTAAGAGGCCTTCCCATGGGAAATGTTGCACTGGGAAGGAAATCACATCAAGTGAGACACTGGGAGAGCAGCTAATGTCTCCGTCTGGGGAAGGTCAACTATCAGAGCTCAAAAAAGGAAGAGACATTAGAAAAATTAAAATTCGAAAATTAGCCTCAATCCCATTTGACATTTATGCTGCCCCATTCAGAGGATCTCATGCTCCAGAAGAGCTCCATGAAGCAGAAGGCTGCTGGAAGGACCCTGCATCCATTCCAGAAGGATAGGTCCCAAGTTCCTGGTGTAGCTCTCTAATGTCCTCCCTAGGGAATTCAAGAAGACACCACATGCCTTGGATTAATGGCTCCCTAGTGACACAAGGCTGCTAGAAATCTGGTGCATTAGACATGAAGATTCTTTGTTTACGAGGCCAGTCAGTTCTCTAGGACTAGCTGTAAAATACTTTTATATATACACCTAAGTGATAAATATATGGATGTATACAAGTAAACACAAATGCACCTGATTATGTCCTGAATTCATTCAAGTCAACAGGAAAACTGCCCGGCATCCATGAGACCAGGAATTCAGCCACCAAAGAGAGTAGCCAATGGTTGCAGGGCTGGGCCTCCACAAATCTATGGCAGATTCATCATCACTGTAACTCCTGTTGCAGGTTTGCTTAGCCTAAGAAATACAGTCCACAACAACAATGACAATATTGTATGTTTACTCACTGAAAAAGACAAAAGTTTGTCTTCTCAGTGAAAACAAATCCTGAAGAACACAGGTCCGGCTAAAAGCAAGCAAGAGCACTTTCTGCCAGAGGAAGGTAGCTGAAGTACTCTTTAAGTGTAGAAAGTCACCTCAGATGTATAGAGGGATATGTCACTGCCAACCAAGCTTCACACCTCAAATATCCTTCAAGTCATTCCGTATTGAACCTCTTCTCTTGGTTTTGATACCTTACTTCAGTACAGAAACCAAAAAAGGAAGAAAAATCCATTAGTGGATATTTAAAGCAGCTTTTACTCTGGACACATGCTGATGCAAGCCAGAAATGCAAACCCAATGCGACAGATGAAACCTTACGTGGTAAAAATGGCAAGCTGAGTATTGAAAGTATCAGCTGTACAGCCTAAGCAAATGAAACACAATTCAAGAAACTGTACTGAAGCTTTCACACAGCACAGTTAATTGCATAAAGATTCATCTTTAATCCACTCCAACCCCACAACGTCCAACATTTCCCCTCACTGCAACTGCTGTTCACATCATCACCAGGATGCATCGGCTCTGCCACAAAATACACTCCATCCTTGGCTGGACTTTAGGGAAATTAAAATGCTACATAAAAAGAAGGTGGTAAAGATTACTCTGGATTTTGTTGGTGAAGCTTTTATTCCACACTGAATTTACTTTCCATATAGATACAGAAACATAACCAATCAAAAGTGAGAAAAATGGGATAAGCTAGTGAATGTGAAATAAATTTGGTCCAAGACAGCTTTGACTGCCTTTCTACTTCAAAGAAAAAAAATGTATCAACATATTAGCCTTTAAAGTTATGAGACTATGGTGTTCAGTCTGAGGGGAAGATGGTATTGTTTTATTCTTCCCAATCTGTGTTAAGTAACAGCATGTATTTAGGGAACAGCAAGCTGCTCATCTTGCCCTGGCCCCAGTTTTACAATGCTGCTCCAGTGCTGTCAGGTATGTAGGGTGTGCTGGGCCTGATTTGCTGCTGTAGTGCATGTTGTGCAGTAAGTCGGAGTTAGGCTGTGCAGAAATAAATCCGTATTTATTTATAGCTAAATTCAGTTGCATTCACTTGTTTAAACAGACTCTTGTGGGATATATTGCAGCTAGCAACATATTACTAATTGCTGGGATAATTGAGAACTCATGGTCAGTTTAAATGTATTTAATGCTCTCTATTTAAAGAACTATGTTTAATTCAATGGAAAGCTTAGACAACTTTTTTAGCCCAGTTGTTAATGTGAATAACAAATGCTGGAAAACTGTTATCACATATATAATGCACTCATAATGTTCTTTTTCTATGTGAATCCCAGCTTCAGTTCAAATGAGGTGGGAACTGGTGTACAGACACACTCTGCTACCTCTTGAAAATTTTTCATTCTGGTTGACTTTAAAGCAATGAGCCTGGCAAGGCTTGACAAGTTAATAGTTGACAGTGACTCTTTCAAATGCTTAGGGATAGCTATAATTTCTACCACGACAGCAGCAGAGCTTTCTAGGGTAATGCCTCACTGAGGCCTTGATTTGTCAAGAACAGCTCAAACAGTTAACTGAGAATCCCACTCTCTTGTAATTTAACAGTGGCAGCAATTTCTCCTTTACAGAAAAGAAAAGTTCTTTAAGAATTCTTTATGGGCTGTGAACAGCTTGGCCAACACTGCTGTCAACTCTTGGCAGTACTTCACTAAGGGCTTTTTCACCTTTATCTCTAGGTTGCGTGCTCTGTGCATCCTCTTCACTCCCAGAGGTCGTCATGCTTTCCACCAGGCCAACAGAAAGAGAAGAGACAGGGAGAATGCAGGGTACAGATGTCTCATGTCAAATCCAGCTGTGTCAGTTGTTTTCAATATTTTACATTCTTGATGATGGGTGGCATCCACCGTATCATCTGATTAACCAGATTCTGGTTCCAGTCAATGCAATTCTGCACTGAGTAACAGATAATCTGATTTGGCAGAGCTGCCCTACTACCTCTATCGCTGTCATATCCCCTCCCGACATAAAAGTTATTTTGAGAATTAAAACTGAGTGGTATGAGTCTGCCTCTCAAGATGCAAATTGTTAACTAGGAAAGAAAAATAGCAGATCTTCTTTGCTTGAATTTCAGCCACATGTCTCCTGAAGGTCCCAAACATGTATGGAATATGCAGTCTGTATTTTAAGCTCATCACCACTGAGAAAAATAAAGGTTTCTGTCAAATGAGCTCTTGTGCCACTACAGGATAAAAGAGAAAGCTGGTCAAGTCTCTGAGCCATCATCCTATTTCTAACCTACTGCTCTAGCTTAATATTTTTAGAATTTCAGTGAAACAGGAGCCCTCAAGATACAGAGGAGTATCTAGAAATCATGCCTCAGATCTCCTTCGTTTGTCAGTCTGGGTACAGATTTGAATTAATTGAATGCTGAAAAGATGAGGGATTGAAACTTCTCTTGTAGCTATTCTGCTTAAACAGTGGCAGTGTGCCCTGGGAGCCCTTATTCTGAAAGCAAAATGCGTCACCAGTGTTACAAGAACACACAGAAAAATAGAAACTTCCTTCAAATATTTTACCAGATTAGTCTTTATATTCAGTTTTAATACCATTCATTACTTCACATGTTAGCCCAGTGTCTAACAGTCACAGCCATGAATGAAGATTCAGTTGATCTAAATTTTACATTAGCATTGATCAAAACCATCCTTAGCCAAAACATTCACAATCTAAACATGTGACAGTAGGCAGATATGGATACGTGGGGGAAAACCAGGGAACAATAAGACAGCATCAGCCTGCAGGAGAAACTATAGAAAAAATGACAGCATTTGCACTAGTTAATAATTATTATTTGAAAGATACTAATTCCAAACAAAAATTTATTCTATTTGCCAGGTATTTTGTTATCATTAATATGTTATTATTTTTAGCATGGCTATTTATTTTGTCACGCTGCCTTCATCAGAGCTTGAAAAATACCCTGCCCACTCGCCTGTAGTTAATAGTGAGCTGGGGAGCAGACCAGCCTTCTAATAGCTACAGAATTTAAAATTTCATTTAATGGGAGGAGAGAAAACTTTCTAGCACTTCTGCACACGAAAGCACAGTTTTGAAAGCCAACCAGTAGACTCCGTCTTCACCCTGCTGTAAACGATCTGATGCAACAGCAGAGCTAACAGTAATGAGCGCAATGGATTTCCATATTCACCGAGGATGGTGTGAGCTGAGTGGGTCACTGTGACACAGACAAGAACTAGGTATTACTGCACTTTTCTCCTGCACTTTCTAAGAAAAAATCTGAGATAATTAATACCGGGAAAGATTTCAAATAAGTAGCATCAAAATGGACTGATTTTCCTAGCAAGTTTACTTAGAGGAGCCACAAAGCATGTAGAAGAACATGCATGACAACGGATCCCTTGCCGCTGAGAGCTGAAGTTAATTGCACCATTAACTAAAAAAAAAAAACTTCACCAGCTGGACATGCTAAGGAAAAGGGAGTCTTCAAATGCATGTACACACCTACAAGCCAAATGTAGTTTGAATCAACAATCTGGAAGCTAATAGGGAAGGCTGATCCCTCCCTGAGTGGTATCCAGCCTCCTGGCAGGAATGTCGCCCGTCTTCACATTCCCTATACTAGAGACAGGATGGAGAGTCAGGCAGAGTCTGACTGAAAAGCTGCTGGGCTGCTCAACGCATTATCCTCCACCTTTCCTTTTTTGTTTGTTTGTTTTAAATACATGTCTGATTTAGTCATTCAGATGGTAGGACATCTGGTACAGTTTTCAGGCCCTGCTTTAATTTAATGATTTAACATCTAGTACACAGGCTTGTTTTACCACAGGAATTTTCTGCCTCCCACACTTTTCTTTCTAATTGGAACTATGTAAATCATAGGCTGCCGGTGCTATATAAATCATCTATAGTATGGCTGCTATTCATTTAAATAACAAATTGGAACTTTTTATTTCTAATTGTTACATGCTGGCCATAATAAGTTGTACACACATGACAAATTTGCAGGCTTGCTGCGCTCTATTAACTTAGTTTATGAAGCATACAAAGAGGTCCTAATATGACAGGCTACAAAAAGTAAGCCTCCCAATGTAGCTATAAGAGGAGCACCGGTTCACGTACTGTAAGACCTCGAGTCGGTTAAGTCATAAGCTTGAAACATATTGCGTACCAGCTCTAGTATACATTCCATACACGATGCTCCTCGGGTTCAATTGCTGAACACCAGGTAATAGAAGACAATAAATTAATTAGAAAAGAGAGCGACCTAGCTGCATTTCGAAATCTGTCACTGTCATGTGCCTTAGAGCAAGCCACTCTCCGCCTCTGGGCTGTGGCTCTCTCTCCTTTGTCTGAGCGGTCTCTGAAAACAAATCCCTCGCTGTGGAGGAGAGGCGTACTGTGAGTGGGCAGTGCTGAAGAGCAATAGCCACCCAACTGCAAACACGGCCATTAGGTGATCCTTTGTACCCCAGTCACTTCCCAATTATGTAATAAATAATAATTTTACCAATAGGACTTCATGAAAAAGATGAGAATAAATTTACTGTTGTGCCAGCTGATCTCACATAGTTTAAATATCAGCACATCCAAAATTAGGAAGAAAATAAAGCTATTCTTTTCACATGGCAATTATTTTTTTCAATGCAACTTTATCTCTGAGTTCGAATTCTTGGTTCTGTTTTGACTAGGAATTAACGATCTAAAAAGTGTCACCTAAAGCTTTGGGTTTTTTTCATTAATGAGAAATAACACTATAGAGTCGGTCACACTATCTTTAACAAGGGAACTTCTTCATGGTAGATGTATGAATTAATAAAAGGCCTAAACATCCATTTCTGTGTGCTGATTCTTTCTTTGGGATTTTTAAGAGTTTGTGGAGCTGTTTTTAAAATCAAAAGTTGACCTGGTCTGTATGTGGGAAATAAGGAAGGCCCTTATGTGGGAAATGGAAGCCCACTCAGCCTCATCACCACTGCTTCCTCACTCAGCTTCTTTGGCTCCATCTGCCAGAAAACAAAAGCAGGAAAAGGATACTGGCTCCAGCTCTGCATATGTTCATCCACACTTCCTAGTTGTTAGCCTGGTAGTGGGCAGTTTTGGTTTGTGCCAGACAGCTTTTTCCCAGTCACTTGGCATGATTCATGGGTTAGCAAGGGCCAGGAAACTCTACCCATATGGCAGTGTGGATGTGGCCACCCTGTCTAGAGGAAAGGAGGAAAGAGGAGGAAAGCTATGGTGGGCCAGTGACTCTCCAGGCACAGACCCATCCCTAGCTGTGACACTGACTGCTGCAGGGAGCTGTGGGATCACTCCCTGCAACGGCTATCAACACAAACACAAAAAGTGTGCCAGTCCCCCAAATTTCACCCTTTCTAGCCACACTACTAGCTGTTCGTGCCCTCATCATGTTTCAAAATAACTGAGCTTAGGATGTCTGCACTGAGCACTCAGCACTGCCTGCGTTCAGCCTGTGCTGACTGCACAAAAGACAGTCTGGGTTCCTGTGAAGCCAACTAGCAAGAATTCAAGTTTTCTCACTAAGAGGTGCTTCAGATCCCAAGTCTGCTTTCAGGGTGGAGCCCAGGGTAACGATGCAGTGCTCACAGAAGCGGGCTCTAGAGTTCACTCTTAATGGATTCATTCATTTTCATGTACTGACAATCAAACAATTTCTGTAGCTGTAATTTTAGACTGCAGAGGAAACTGGGCATGGCACCCAATGAGATCTTTAGAATAACCAAATAGTGTCACATAGTATCAAGCCGATTTCCAAAAGAAAGGGCTTTGATGGGAGACAGCTCTTGGGCCAGCCTCCTAAGTCATCTTCAGGCTAGTGCTAAAAAAGACCAGAAATTGTTCTAGGGACCACACTAGCCTTCAATTTGATACCAAAGCTTTGTGTGCTTGGATTTTATTATGCAGGAAAATGACACTTAGAGCAGTGTAACTGGAAAAAAAGAAGTGGTTACTGTAACTTCCATCCTGGCATTCCCAGGAGGCTTGGGAAGAGCTTTCTTTAGCTGAGGGAAAGGATTTGGAGCCTCAGCTTGCTGCACTGGCAAACTTTTCAGCTCACAAGCCATGAGGGATACTCCTGTTTTGCACACAGCATTTCCCACTTTCTCCTATGGCACATGAGCAACTCTGTGTGTGCTTGAAGCAGAAAGACAAGCACAGACTGCAACCAGCCTTTGTCAGGGGGGTAAGCACATCATCTCCCGTGCCAGCTCACTTCAGCTAAGGGGAGCCAGAAGGGTGTAAACCTCACATCAGCCAGTTGAGAAGAGCACCTGAGTAGTTCCTACTTCCCTCCCAAAATTCAGAGCCTAAAGGAATAGTAGGTTGAAAAGGCCCCAAGCCACAGAATACAATTCTTCCTTCCCTTCTCCCTCTGCCTTCCAGGCTGCCGCCCACCCTGGCTGTGGGCAGAGCCGGGTGTGTCCCTGCTGCCCACCCACCCGCTCTCTGCTCTGGCACCGCTTTCCCCACGCAATGTTCACGGAAGGAAGGGGTTAAGGCGTGCGGGTGGCTCTGCATTTACCTGCTCTGGTCCCAGTTGGCAGCGAAAAGGACGAGGATCTCCCTGCCGTAGTGGTCCAGGTTGGCCAGCCCGCCCGGGAAGCCATCCTTCAGCGCCTGCTTGATGCCCGGGTCTGTGGCCTTGAAGCTCTTGAACATGTCCAGGTTCTGCTGGCGATATTCAAAGTACTGGG